CGTTGTAAACGTTTTTATTAAATAAGAACAGAACAACTATTTAGTGTTTACTTTCATATGATCACCATCAGCTGATATGTACTCATGATAAAAATAATCTTTTGTGGCACATTTCATATTTATTACTGAGGAGTAAATATAATTTTGTGTTGATAAACAAACGTAATTGAAGATCAATAATCAGCCAAACATTTCACAAATTGAATACAATTTCATTGATAAGATGAATTAGAATTCATTTGTTCTGCACGCCATAAGCCTAGTTGAGAATTATTTAATTATTAATTGATATTACAGTTGGTAAATGTAGAGAGCTGAATAAAATTCACTAACAGTCAAGTCAGTTTATATGAAAAAACTATGGTTTACTTACTTAACGTTACATAGAAAAATGAAATTCTAACCATCAAATGAAATGCTTGCCAACCTACATAGCATTGGGGTTAACTAACTCTCCCAACAGATATGAATATCAGCATTCCAAAATGATATAAAAGATCTATGTCTGAAGTAGAAGCATGTGTGATAGCAGAAATCACTTTAAATTTTGAATTACTCAATAATAATTTTAAGCGATATGTAATAGATAGAATGTGGCTGGCAGTTGAGTGCCAAGACGAGCGTTTAATCCTTTTTTCGGGCTCGTCAGTCGGATATACTTGCATACAACAGTTGATGTTCACCTCGAAACTTGAACTCAGTAGCTAAGTGAATAAAGCGATGATATTTGGAGTGAATGGTGCTTGGTCCGAGATCCAATGTTAACAACAACTCTGGGATGCAAATACATTCACTTGACGAGTACCGAAGGGGACGAAATCCACGTACTAGATTCAACTACCAACTACAATCCATTTATTTTGTATCAACTTATGTCGTAATGGGCATATCGAGGCAACCCGCACAGGACGTCTATATGCCAACCGAGACTGATTAAATGTCAGTCGAAATATAAAAAGTGGGATAATTCAAACCCTTTCAAAGTGTATCAGCTTTAAACAATATTAAGTCATTTAGTTGGAAAGGTCTTAGTCCTCTGGTTTTTTATGCTAAGGACTATAATCAATCAGTCTATTTCTCCCTATTTGCATCTTAAGATGACAACCTCAAGACGGCCATTAATTCACAAGTTTTTAAGTAATATTAGATAGTGGCTAGCAAAGGATTTCAGGAGGAATTTTTTCTCTTATCTGGATATTTGTCAAATAATAGCATATTTATCCCAGTGTTAATTTTCATAAGCAGACGTCAACCCAGTAATTTTTATTTCAAACTCCCAACCTTACTCAAAACCGTCGACGTAACGGTAATATCCAAGCGATCTGTTCATTTTGATGACTGATATAATCCCGTTCGTAATATCAACATCAGGGAAATACAAACAATTACATGTGTTATTATAGATATCTAACAAAACAAACTGATTATTTAACAAAAATACAAATTTTAACTTTGAAAGTTTGAGCAACAGTGTTTCGTTTAATTTGTTATTAAACTAATATGATGCAGAAATGTTATACAATAACATTTTCAAATAAAGATCAATATTATTGGTTCTGACAAAGTATTAGTATGAATGGACTGGTTTTGATTATTTTCACTTATCTTAAGTGAAAAAAAAACACTAAATATGTAATATCGTAAATTTATTAAAATTAGGAAAACACACATATGCAGGTAATATTGTTTTCCACAAGATTCCCATTAGGCCAAAGCCTGATATGCATGAAAATATTAAATCAATCAAGACAGTTTGAGTCAGTGATTATACCAAAGTCGATTACATAAATAAGCGTAATAAACTAAAAGTACAACTTGATAGTGTGGTGATAGATGTACTGGTTGTGATAATAATAATAATATAGGCTTATATCAATGTTTCATAATGGAATGTAGGTCAAAGACTTGGCATTAAAAATAATTAAAATTACATCTAAGTGTTTCAAATTAATAGTCAATGAAGCGTCTATTTGGAAAAAAAGGAGGTAAGGAAAAATAAATGAACAAAGAGTATGGTAGATAATAATAATAAATAAAATCGTTTGTCAATGTAAATTTGGCTAATAGGAAGATTAGGATTTTATAAATTTCATATGAATACGAAGATTTGAGTTGTTGATTTTCTAGTTTTGCGAGAAAAAAATCGTCAGGAATAGGACTAAAATTGAACCAATCACTATTCAATCAATTTGTCTATTCGACACAAAATGAACATTCATTGTAAATTTCAAAAGTAATTCTTTGAAACTATCTCCAGTAATTCCCAATATTGATCCGGTTATCAAGTAGTTGTAGAAATATAAAGTCAGTTGTCTAAATTAGTAATACCATGGAGAATAAAAAAGTAAAAACTACGGATATCACATGTTTACATTTTAAGTCCAAATGTTCCGCTTTGAGAATGAAATTCAAAACATCTTTAACGCTCCTATTACCGATTAATTTGTGTAAAGCATCCAGGATTTTAATTGACAGCTTGAAAATTTTATGTTATGGAGAATTGTACATATCTGAGACTGAACGAAGGGGAATAGAATTCAGGAACCATAAAGTGGTGGAGTGTTTGACCGCCTAGGTTCCTGTGAATCATGAATGGTTGAAGTAATTCTTCCCTTAATTTTCAATTCTTTAAGCCATTCCTCTACGTCCATATTTATATCAGTAATGCCACTGAAGTTTTGGAACTTTGTCAGCTTATTCAAAAATGCGTTCATTTAATCGAATTGTTATGTTGATTTAAACAAGCACTCCTCCTTTGTTTGACTTGCTTACGATCAGTGTTATTGTTTCTAAATTTATATTAATCGTTCACGTGCTTGATCGAAGGCCCATAGTTTGATTCGCAGTTGTCAGATTATGGATCCTCATTGGTGAGTAATTTCATGGTAGGATAAAACGATAGTGTAATTCATCCCCGGTTTCATTGATAATCTAACTGAAATCACTTTGTGACCCATAAGTTACCCTGACTAGTTTAATGTTTCTCAAATATATACATATAAATATTCCTGTAAAGACTAACGATAAGAACAATACTGTTTATTTATACATGTTGCTCTTATTTAGAACTACTACATTAGATTTTTTAATGATACCTGAAAAATCAATTTCTCATTTTCTAACACAGTCATTTTATTCATGTTTTCTTTTCTTTAAATACAGACTAAATCAAAGAATATTAGGAACTGATGATATACTTAAATAACGGTTCAATAATTCATAAATGTATCTAGATTAAATCAGTACCGTTCATCACTGATGATGATAATGCATTGTAAATTAAGAGATAGTGAAAATATTGAGCAATTGAATGCCTAAAAATTATGTCTATCGTGAAATATTGGTTTCTGGAATTTGTTTCACTGTAAGATAATAAGTCTACACAGTTGAATAATTCATAAGTGGAACTAGATAATCATTTACTGTGTTCTGTAGTCTCTTTAATAGTTGTCCATATAATATTATTTTGTTTACCAATCTGTTATAACTAACGTAGGATCTACAAAAAATCTGTATTAGTTCACGTTTCTATATAATATCATCACAGCGTGAATTTATTAATATGGTGCATAGAAAAAACGTTTAGTTTTAATGACTAAATACAACGAAAATCGCTTAACAAAAGAATTGGATGAAAATTATTAGATAATTTTAATATGGGCACCATCATAAACTTTAATCATACTTGGTTCATTACTGAATACTGGTGATATGAAAATCAGATCAGATATACACACTACAAGATCTGATATCAAAGTACATAGCCAAAAGTTTCTGCACTTTATATTAATAACAGAATGGGGGTTTGTGGACATCGATCGATTTCAGCTAGATCACCATTGGAAACCTGGAAGCATCGGACAGTTGTTTCGTCCTAATATGGGACCCTTCAGCAGTGCGCATCCACGATCCCGCTCGCAGGATTCTAACCCAGGGCCTTCAGTCTCGAGCGCGAACGCTTAATCTACTGGACCACTGAGCCGGCATCCACTGGTGTTAATGTCATTACTTGGTTACATTTAGTGACAATTTAAATGTTTGATAGTTAAACCACGAAGACCACATTTTATTTACTTTTCAAAATTGTGTTATACACTAGAATAGGTCCATTTTTTAAATAATTCGATTATAATGTCATATCGAAACTATTGAACATATTGAATGATCTAATTAAGTATCATCACTAAGGTTTTACTTGATAATTTCAAATAAATTGAGTATTGGGTAAAGTGTTAATAACAAAATTTTATGTTCGTGAAATCCCTAATAATATTACTGACGACTTGCGGCAGGTTCACAAGTACTCACACACGCACACACAAAATTGCTTAAACCAAAAGTACATGACATTGACATAATTATTATCTGATTTAGTTGAATTAAATATTCTTCAGTTTCTTGGGATTATATATATATATATATTCTCTGAAGTAGAGTTAGATTAGGATGTGAAATGCAACAAATTCAATATTCTGTTCACTACGATATCATAAATATATTATTTTATTATGCTCTTGTAAATAAGCGAAGATGAATGGTGGATTTTGTAAATAGTTTACTTGAAGATTGGTGTGATTTGTAAGTCTCAAATTGATAACTTTTCGAGTAATACTGAAAACAAAAGAGAACCGAAACCAACACTTTCAAGTCCAACCATTAGGATCACTACGTTGCAGTCTCGTAGTACAATTTCAACTCCAATCCATTCGTGATATAGCTCGCCGACTAGCCAACGTCAGTGATAACAACTTGTGATATGTTTGAACTTCGACAGATACGATTTCTCATTAAAACTTCAAAAACAATTTGGTAACCGACATAGTTTGGTTGAAAGGAATTTTTTTGAAAACTAATAAACTTCATTTATCAGTGTTTCTTCATTTTCAACGGTACACTAACTAAAATCAATCTGAGAATAATACAATCTATAGAGCTTGTAAATAATGTACTACTCACATTAGTTGTGAGAGAGCAAAAAATAAAATGAAACCAATACTTACTGTTTAACATATTCTTCAATATCTGACTCTATTTCATTGATTTTTTTTGACTTGATATCATCAATCATGTCAGTAGTATGCTCAATATTCCCATTCACATTATTATTATTATTATTATTATTATTATTAATGGTATTATTAACAACATTGATCTGATCATGTTTTCCCTGATTATTTGTTAAAAGTAGTACATGTTCATAATCTTTACTAATAGATTGAATATTATTTTGACATTGAATACAAAGTTTTGTTGAATCATATATTGGAAGTTTAGATATTTCTAATAAATTTTTATGATTATCATTAATATATACTGAATTATCAGTGATAATGATTGGTGAATTATTTTTATGATTATTTATTGTTTCAATAGTGGTTATTATAGGTATAGATGGCATAACAGTAGTGATTGTGTTAGATTTATTTTGATAATCTATAGAATTAGTGGTATTACAATGAAATGTATCAGTTATTTGCCTATTATTTATATGTACAGATGTGTTTTGAGCATTAATTTTATGTTGTTGATGATGATGATGGTGATTATCATTTTGATTAGGATGAATTGAAATATTATTAAATTGATTTGAACAATTCGATATAGACATTATACTGTTATTTGTATGATTAGGAGTAAGTGTATTTTTAATTCCAGGATTATTATTATTTTTTGATGTATAACTAATTAAATTGTCATGATTATTATTATCCAATGAAAATGGAAATGAAAAACTATTTGATTCTTTACGTCCTGCCGTTGCTACAACCGCTACCGACGCACCCGCTTCAGTTGCTGCGGTTGACGATGATGATGATGACGATGATGACGATGAAGTAGAGGGTGTATTCGATGAACAATGTCGGCAAAAATTTAAACAAAAATTTGATTGATGATTATGATCGCTGTTATTGTTGTTATTATTATTATCATTTAAATGTTTTTTCTTTCGTTTATTTGAATTTTTAATGCATCTGGTATATAAGGATAAGAAACTATTGGTATTATTAGCATCATTATCTGCATTCAGTTTCCTTGATAATGTTGCTGAAGTCTTGGTAGTTTTAATTGCCGGTTTGCATATGGTTCTAGTATTATCGCTTGTACTATTTTGTGAAATGGTGATATTTGTTATTTTATGATCAGCTAATTGTAAGAAAAAATAATAATGAATGAGAAACAATTAATAAATTAACTACTTATTTCAGTAATATGGAAGAACAATTAGTAATTAAATGATGGTTGACTTGAAGAACCGACTTAAATCGATTTATCACCTTAGAAAAATTGTTAAGTTTCCTATCGCAATGTTAGCAATTCATCTCTAGTGTGATGTAAACGATGATAGTTATTTTCATTAGGTATGGAATAAATATTTCCAGTTTAGGTGAATGACAGTAGTGAAATTGTTAGTATAAACTAGGTGGTCGTATGTTAAGTTTGTATGTTTTTGATTCGACTTCTATCAAGGTCATGGATGGACAGTGCTAAGGAATCTCATATTAGAACAAGATACCTATTCAGTACTCTTTAGTGGTCGTTTTGAGAAGTATAGTAATCTAATAATGAGATTTTTCATACAAACAGGTATTTCTGATTTTTATTTTCAATATACAGATGACTGTGTAATATGTCTGTGTGCAAATAAATGTGACTACTGAAGTTTTTTTGGCTCTTAATCTGACTCAATACTGATATTATGAATGATTGTTTTTGAAATATATATGCCGCCAAACCTCGTATACAATTATTGACTTAAAACACGTTGATGAATAATGTAATGAAATAAGTCAAGTCCGAGAATGGATTTTTGAATACGCATATTTCATACAATCGTTGATCCGAAATCGAATCAAAAAGAAATTACGAGTGGAGGAGAAAGGGAGTGAGTCAGCTTATCTTAAACATGCGTGACTCGATATATATAGTCAGACAAAAATATGATTAGTAAGATAGGAAATGTACACACATACGCTTACATAAAACAGTCAAGGTTGATAAGCAAATAAGTGACCGAGTAAAATTGTGGCTTGAAAAGAATGAATAGATTGATCTATCCAGAAGCTAGAATAACTTATGTGGGTTTAACATAGTACCAGCTTCAACATAGTATCTAGCCTCGAATATCTCAATAAATAATGACCACTTAATTTACAATCATAATCTCTGTAAGTCTTTAGTAGGTTACATTAGTAATATTAAAAAACGTTTAAATGAAATGTAGAAAATGAATTCGTGGAAAAATTTCAGGAACATTTAAATTGGACACGGAAATCATAAGACGGAAGACTAAATCGTTGTTGTGTAATTCTCTATTTCGGACAGATTTTAGACTGATCAAAAAATTCAGTTTTTTAAATAGTACTCGTGACACTATTGAGAACGAGAAATAGTCAGATGATTATAGTAACTCAGATAAGATTTTAGACTTACGTACTTGGAAAACATTTTCAGATCAGAAATCAATTAGCTACATCAGTTGTTAAATAATCTAACCTATATAAATTCTATGTCAAATTGTATAGTTATCAAAGAATACGTATAAGCTGAAATGAATGGTAACTAGCAGTGGAATCTAAGACGCGTGTTTCATCCTATTCGGGATTCGTCACACGTGTGTACCTGCATCCCAGAGTTAACATTCTGCACGTCACTCGAACCTAGCACCTTTCGTTTCAAACGACATAGTGTTATCCACTTAGTTACTGAATCCTGAAATCCACTAGCTTGTGTAGTGAGATGAAGTTTATTTCATTTTTGTAATGATTGTATGAATCTTCCCATTGATGGAATGAAGATGCATCTAGCTGACAAGTCTCAAAATAGAACGAAGCACCCATCCTAGATTCCACTACTAGCCACCATCCATCTTTGTTTATAATACCTGTGACTTAAGGCAATATCGAGGGAATCCGCATAGGATGCACATATGCCAACAACACACTGATCAATTGCAAAGATTCAGACAACCAATACAAAAATGAATATATATTACATAGAATTCTTTTTTATAATCTCAATGAAATCAAGCATAATATTACTTGAGAATTCTTCACATGATGGTATATTGCTATAAAAAATAGTCTATCCTGAGCAAATGATTAATGCTGTTCGTTAGTTGTCTATGTAAATAATATAGAACCAGACATACATCATGTTGATCTTGTTTAGTCAAACGGATAATGTTCTTTTATTGATGCATATAGTAACTTAATAAAATAAAATGACTTATTGGTGATATTAATCACAAAGAAGATAAATATATAATTAATTTTATGGTAAAACATAATTCAAAATTTATTAATCCAATCAGAATTTTAAATGAAGTCGATGCTGTTAATATTCTCTGCTAAAGAACAATCAGAGTTCTCCAATTGTACCAGTCTATATGAGAGGACCAGCAAATCCTCTTGATCATTTCAAAATTTAAAAAAAATCTTTTTCTTCTAAACGAATAAAAGGAAATCATATTAAAGTGATTCAAACTCATTGGAACATGTTGTCTTAAATAAGTTTAGATAAACAGCTTGACATCTCTAAAAATCAATAGCTGAAATCATGAAGTGCTGTGTTCGAATCTCAAGGGGTGCGGGATGGTGGATGCGCACTACTGAGGAGTCTCATACTAGGACGAAACGGTCGTCGCGCAATTTCGTGGGTTGGTTGATGTTAGACGCTAACACCATTGGATGCCGACTCAGTAGTCCAGTAGGTTAAGCGTCCGCGCGTGAGACTAAAGGCCCTGGGTTTGAATCCCGCGAGCGGGATCTTGGATGCGCACTGCTGAGGAGTCCCACAATAGTGCTTCCAGGTTTCCAACGGTGGTCTAACATCAATCGGTTCATAGTCTCAATCAAAAATTAGACTTTCTATTAGGTTATTACGCACCATTAATAGTTGATAAGTCGTCTAACTGAACGCTAGATTCGGTTCCTAAGCTCTTCTAGTAACCCCAAGGCTAAATCCACACCGCGACTTGAACATGAAAGAGAATGAGCGAAACACTTTACTCCAAGTTTCGTTTGTGTACGGAAAATCTAGGGGTTTTAAAGTGTTTTAGATGGCCTTGGGTTTCCGGAAAAATCTGGAACACATAAACTTAAATGGAGAAACATTTGCTTAAATTAGTAAGCATTTTGATAGAACCTATTAGTATTTATGCCAAGACATTACATATTAAAAATATAGTTCAAAGAAAAGAACAAGTACGTGAATTAGTATTATATGGACAAATTTATCATCACTCGAATATTCCTAGACTGGTTAGAAAAGATGTAAGAACTAGTCTTCTTTTAGTTGAGTGACCAACTATACCTTATCCAAATGAATCCCAACAGTAGTCTAGAGGTTAAGCATTCAGGCGTGAGAGCGATAAGTGGTCGTGATTGTGCATTACCGACTAGTCTCATCCTTGTAAGAAACGGCTATCCAATCCTTCCAGGTTCTTAATGGTGGTCTAGTTTAATTCAGTTCATGATTTAAACTATGAAAATTAGCCATTTGTGTCTAACAATTTTTTAATCGACTATAAATTCTGGTACAATTGACCCTACAACCAAAGCAATCATGTTGTCAAGAAATAAATGAAGTAATAAATGATTTAAGAGTTATACTTTAGTTGAAAATCCAAGTTTGAAAGAATTCTTTCGGTTTAGAGGGTTCGTCTTACGTTATTAAGACTACAATAGTGTCGTCACTGACATATCTGAAAAAATCTCCAATGTTATAATCGTAGAGTTGTGATGAACCCACAAATATAAGTTTTATACAGCGATTTTTTGTAAAAAAAAAAAAAGAAGAAAGTATCATGGCATAAAATGACCACCTCTGGAGTAGTCAGAACTTCGTCAAATTATACGCAGTTCAAATTGTGGTGTGTGCTACTTATGTAGACATAAGTGGTATATGATCTTGGTCGTGAACAGAATGTCTGGCAGCAGAGAGACAAGAAGATCGAACAGTAAAGAATGAAAACAGAATTCGATTTGTATGGAAATGCAAGAACAATGAAGTCTGGGTCATTTTGAAACAACTGATGGACATTTTTCAAATTGAGTATTTAGTATATGGTTGTTAGATTTTAATAATAAGTCCTGTAACTTGGCGTCAAACACATTCGATTGTCCCCAACCGTGTTGTGTTGACTGGAAAATGAATGGACAGTTTACATTACACGTGTAATTATAACAGTAAACTGGTTGTCATTCATAAATGCTCGTGAAAAAGTGTGTTGATTGCTGAATATATTGTAAAGACTCAACATTATTTTGTATCTGCCAACATGACTATTATGTTGTATCTTAATTTAGTAAAGACTTAAATTTTACAAATTAACGATAACTTAACTACTGAAGCTAAACGGTAACTAATTAGTAATCTGGAAGTAATCAACATATCTTTTTATATAGTTTTATTATTTCTTTATGATGTAACATGTCCCCCCCCCCCAGAGGATATTTTTGTAATAACAAACTAAACACTTATTTGTTTATTACTAAGACATTTGATAAACGTATACCGAAAATATGTTTTGTACATTTCATAATAAACTGTGAAAAGAAAGTCACATTTTCCTCTCTTTTCAAAATAAACATTCGTGTGAACTGTAACGAAGTGACACTTCATTATTCATAATCACTATAGTGTATTACCATCAAAGTTGGTATATATTTATCAGTCGTTTAACAAACTAACAACCTTACTGAATATGCAATAAAAATCAGTAATACATTTTGATGAATTTAAACTTCACTCCATTGCACAAGCAGGTGGCTAACAGGACTCAGTAGCTAAGTGAATTAAGCGATGGAGTTTGAAGAGAACGATACTGGATTCAAGTCCCGGGGTGAACATCAACTCTGGGGTCCAGGCACATCCATCTGACGAGTCCCAACTGGGACGAAAGGCACGTCCTGTATTCTACTGCTAGCCACAATCCATCTTTGCTTAAAAAGCTTGTGACTTAAGGCAATATCGAAGCAATCTGCACGGGTTGCACATATGACAACAAGAGACTGATCATTTGCAGTCCTAAACAACAATGGGAGGATAAAAGCAAACAACACCAAGTGAATTTTGGTACTGTTTCTAAACACAATTTACAAAAAACTGTGATAACTTTCATACTATTATCAACAGTCTGAAAT